GGTGACATGGACCTTATTTTAAAATATCGGATTTTATAATGATAACTCTTTTGCTAATACTGCTCGGTTTATTGTGATTTTGAATTTGAAGACATGTTTTAAATTAAATTATTATTTATTTGTACTATATTTACGAGTTGGATCTTGATAGTATAATTTGTTTATAATTTCATGTTATTTATAATGTGATTTTATATTGATGGAATAACGGTTGCGAAAAATGTCTTTAATAATCATAATGTGATCCACTAGACTTAGTCGAAACGCATAGGCCGGGTCTAGGGGGTTACAAAATATATATATATATATATATATAACATTTGGGTAAAAAATTAACCCTAGCCCATTTTTTAGCTATCATTTTTTCCTTTTTCTCTCTAACCCGCCATTTTTTTCTCTACTACCCCTTATCTCTTTCTTTTTCACTTTTGAACCCACGATCGCCATGGTCGTCTCCCCTAACACCCTGGACGAGGGACTAAAAGACCACTATATTGCAACCAAACAAACTCATAACCCGAAAATAAACAAAACTCCTACTAAAAACTAACCCTCAACCCCCAAACAGGTCCCAAATAATCTTTACCTACGACGACTTAAAGACGTTTTAGATCCAGGGGACGGCGAGGCTCCTTTTTCGACGGGAAATGTGAATTTCTTTCCTCTCAATGTTTTCCCTTTTTTTGGATGTCTGGTTCACTCATAAAAAGGGAAGAAACCTCTCTTTTATTTTTTACCTTTTCAGTTCTGTTTTCGGTGAGAACAAATAAATCGTCCCCCTTTTCTTTTGCTCGTGTGTTTTTTATGTATCCTCTAATTTTTTATCCCATAAAAATGCCACCTTTAATATGTTCCCTTTTTGTTTGTTTTGCATGTACGAGAAGGGAGGCCTTCTGCTATGACAGAGGGATTTTGCTCATCGACAAATTGCTCCTTACAGGCGTTTTGGACCATTGTAGCAGGTACGAACGATGGTGGCTGTGTGACTCAGACCCACAGGCGCGTGGAGCATTTGGTAGGGCCCGTATATGTCGAATGCACAGATCTGATCGGTTGGTCTACTCGAGTTGAAGATGGACCGTTGGATCGTTGGTCAGATCCAACGGTTCAAATGCATTGGCAGCGGTAGCAACATTCCAAGGTAAACATACCCTAGATCAGACCTAATATGGATCGTTAGACTCATTCTTGATCCGACAGTTGAGGCTCGGTGGCGCTGGGACTTGATGGAAGCTAGGGTTTCTTCAAACCCTATCAGATTAGGTTATTGGATTTGGGTTGAGTTACATCTCGAGCCTTGTGTGTTGATTAGTTGTAATATTTGGGCCTGTAACCAAAATTAATAAAGTGTTTAATATTTTGTTTTTAATTTTTAGGTTGCATGTATATATATTATCGTATACACATTATATTATATATATATAATAATATAACTAATGAGATATATACTTATAATTGTTGGAGGAAAGAAAAGTCAAAAAAGGGATTGTGTGCCACCGCCTAAATGCTTGGCATTTTAAGCAAAGTGGCACCGAACCCCAATTCTTTAATTAAAATATTTTTGGGTTAATTACATTTTAGCCATTACACACTTTAGTTTATTTATAAGATTAGTCTCTAAGTTCGACTATAAATACCCTAATCCATTTAGCTTCAAAATCATCCCAAAATCTTCCAGTTCTCTCTCAAGTGTGTTTTGTAAACACCTGTAATTTTTTCTCTTTAGTAAAAGATCTGCAGCAGTCCGGAGACGTAAGCACAATTGGCTGAACTCCGTTATCAATTTTTCGAGTATTATTTTTCCGCTTTTATTTTGTATTCTCACTAATCTGACTATAAGAAAATTACTCGTACCCGGTTTATTTCCCAACAATAATAACAATATATAATAGATGTATAGATGTATATATATATATACAAACCTATAAAGCGATGATCAACCATACAATTACGTAAAAAATAATATGCATATATATAGAAAGTCACATAATCATTATTAATAACTAACAATTAATAAAAATACGTAGCTGATAATATACCCAACTAATGATAATAACTAACAAATAATATTATATATATATATATATATATATATATATATATATAGATAGATAGACACATGCATAACTAATAATAATAACTAATAATTAATTATAATATAACAAGTGATAATATAATATATGAACCCATATAATATACACACTACAATGCATATGTATATAATTAAATACCCAAATATAATTAAATAGCCTAAACCAACAATTCAAACTAATTAATAATATATAATCACAAACGAAAACTCGAAGGGGAAAATCCAAGATAAAATGAGCATCTATACCTTCTGGTTCCAGGGTTTTACCCTGACTAATTCAGATCGATCCTCGTTGCACACCTAGTTTTGGTTGGTGAGTCTTTCAGTGAGAATTTTCTGCATACACAATATCTCGAACTCGAAACATGCTTAAACGATATCAAACTGCTTACCACTTGAACCAACCCATGTTGATGATATTTTCACTTTTTAATAAGAGTAACTTCTTTTTTTAATATATATATATATTAACAATATAAAATTTTTATACGAGATAAATATAAATAAAATTTTAAAACAAATACAATAAATAAAACAAATAAATATTGAAAATAATTCAATTTGAAGTTCAACATTCATCCGCCCTAAACTAAGCGTATGTCTGCGTCTGCATCTGCATCTGCATATACATAAACATATTAATTTAAAATAACGAATGTAAACACATTTTAATAGAAGTCAAACTTAATCACGACCATGAACTTTAATCCCTTATCTGATTTGTCTGAAAAGGAATAAAGCACCTCTCCAAATTCAGTTGGAATAAAACCAAATCGAAATTTGATACTCGTTTCCTCCATTCTTTGGTTGGTTTCAATAATAATTAGGGTAAAGTATATAAATGGTCACTAAACTTTTTACACACTTGCATTTAAGTCTGTTAACTTTTAAAACTTGCAATATAGTAACTAAACATTTAGTTCATTTGCAATATGGTCCCCGACGTAAAGACCGTTTCACTTCCGTTAGGGTAAATTATATAAATGGTTACTGAACTTTTCAGGTGCTTGCATTTAGGTCCCCCCAACTTTTAAAATTTACAACACAATCATCAATTACATTCTAAACCCCAAAATCCAAAATACTTCAATTATATTCTAAACCTCAAACTTCAAAATACTTTAATTACATACTCAACCCCAAATTCATAATTCATTCTTAAAATCTACTATAACAAACTAAACTTGAAGCAGTAACCCTAAACCCTCAAAATATAGCCATTTCAAAAAATTTAACCAACTATAAGTGAACAATAAGTGATTATGTTGAGTTTAGGGTTTAGGGTTATGTTGGAGCTAAATACTCAATTCAGTTTATAAAATAGTTGACTCGATTTTTTTTCGATTTGAGTTTATAAAATTTAAATAAAGTCGAATTGAATTGAATTTTTGAGTTTCTGTTTAAATTTAATTATAAATATTTATCATATTATAGTATTATTTTATTCTAATTCAGTTTAGTTTATAAAATAGTTGACTCAAAAAAATTTCGATTTGAGTTTATAAAATTTAAATCAAGTTGAATTGAATTGAATTTTTGAGTTTCTGTTTAAATTTAATTATAAATATTTATAATACTATAATATTATTTGATTCTAATTTAAATAGTTTTTTTAACCATATATAATACATACATTTCTTCATATTTTTCCCATATGTGATATAAATATATCATACAGAGTCAAGGGACTTGACTCAAACTTAAAAAATAGTCCACTAATTACTAAAAATTTTGAGATATTCGAGTTGTATTTTACAACTCGATTTTAACTTTATTTTTTTTAAGTTGAGTTTATGAAATCACAACTCAAAGTCAATTTGTATCAAATTTTTTGAATCAATTCAAGTCGAAAAATAATTTTTTCAGATCGAATTGAGTATTGTTCACTTATAGTTGGTTAAATATAACTTTTAAATCCTAAACCCAACATAATCACTTATTGTTATAGACCCAAAATGAACTAAATGTTGTTGATTATGTTGGGTTAATTGGTGGGGAAATTTAATATTTTGGGTTATGTTTTGAGGGTTTATGGTTGCTGCTTCAAGTTCAGTTTATTATGACAGATTTTGAAAATGGATTATAAATTTGGGATTGGATATGTAATTGAAGTATTTTAGAATTTGGGGTATAAAATATAATTAGTGATTGTGTTGTAAGTTTTAAAAGTTAGGAGACCTAAAAGCAAGCGCCTAAAAAGTTCAGTGACCATTTATATAATTTACTCTAACAATAGTGAAACAGTCGTTACATCGAGTATCATATTGGAAACGAACTAAATGTTAAATGATTGTATTACAAGTTTAAAATGTTTAAAGATCTAAATGTAATTATCTGAAAAGTTCAGTGACCATTTATATACTTTACGCTAATAATTGAGTTAGGATCAGCTTTTTTAGATCTATTTTCAGCAAGTTTCCTTTCTTTGAATGGTTGAAAACTTTCTTACTTTCCGAAGACCAAGCTCGTTACCGCCCTTGGATTCGCGTGTTTCATCTCTTTTGCCGCCCAACTTCTACTCTTCTAAAGCAAAAAGCTATCCACTCTCAATTTTCAGAATTTTAAATTCTGGGTTTTGTTTTTTGTTTCCTTTCGCCTGGAATCTCAACTGGAATGAATATTCTTGACCCCGGATTTATCCTGTAAGTTGAACCCCCTTTTTCTCTGATTTTTTCTCTCTTAATTTTTCATTGCAAATGCTGTTAGATTTCTACTGGGATGTTCGTTTTTGTTTCCGTTTCTGGGTTTTCTAGTCTCTGCCTTTGTCTTTTGATCATAACGTTTTCGGGTTGCATTTGGGAATTTGGATTCTGGATTTTAGAATGGTGTAAATTAATATCTATTTACTGGTGAATTTGAAATTCATGCAGACATTTATGATTTTGAATTTCATATTTTTTAACAAATGAAATTGGAATTTAAATATTCGAAACATAGTATTGATGGATAGTGATTCCAATGTACCTGTCTTAAAAGAGAATCCTGAATTTCGCTGAAAGCCATGGTTTAGTGCTAAGAATTTGTCTCAAGATTGTTTCATTTATGCTTAAATCTTGTATCTGGCATTGCCTTAAATATTAGCTTCATTTGATTAATTGTTTCGAAGGTTTGTCTTTGGGGATTATTGCTAATTTTATCTTATTGTAGGAGTTCTTCCAAGGTTTCCAAGTAAAAATATACTTCCTTTAAGAGATGTAGTTAATCACCTGATGAAAAACTATATTGCTATGACTCTTGTATCTGGCATTCGTGTTTTTGACCCCGAATTTGATGCTTATTTAGACTATAGTAGGGTATATGATCCTCTTAAGACCTTCCAACTATATGAAAAACATTGAACATCTATTCGATATCTATTCACGTCAAACACTCTCACCGAATCCTAGAACTGTAGATGAAATTGAAGATGCATCATAATGTTCCTGATCCGACCTGAACGCTGAACTGGAATATGAATTCTTACTAATGTCTATGCTCTAAGGCCCTATGTTACAGAGACAACAAATAATCCTAAAGAATGTATAATTTTGTGTGCCTTGTTAGTTTAATTAAGGGTCTGTTTTTTCTTATCTTTGGTACATAAGATTACTTTGTTGCAACTCTTCTTTTCTTGAAGTACTAATATCCAACACCTCTGTTGGGCACTTTTTCGGAGATGAGTGTGATTATATGATCCTCCAAGGAATCTTCAAATTTATGGAAAAAATTAGAAGAAAATGCAATGCAGTCAAGAAACTGATACCTAAGTGCCTGTGTTACACTTTCTCGGTCGTGAGTGTCAGATTGCAAGTATATCAATTTTTGTTTTTTTAGTTTTGGTGGTCATGTCTCCATACCCATATTGGAACATGTGTCAAATATGGGCATTTAAGAAAAATGAAAACTCAGGGCAACATAACTAAAAGCTATAGTAGTTATCAAAGTATCTTGCTGCCAAGCAGAGATGAAAATTTCCGCTATCCGTCCAAAATTTTAGAAATTTAGGAAGGATAAGAATACATCTTTTAATTGGTAACGGATTAACGTTTGCGTTAATATTCATATTTCACAGGTGAGAATGGAAGGGGGAAAAATAAGCATAGATATTCCCAGGGATGGAAAATCCAAGGTTCTTGATCCAGTATTTTCTGTCTTTCTTGTTCAACTTCCACACAAACTTCAAAACTGTCTTAAGGTTAGCCATAGCTTTTATGTTTCATGAATTTTATGATGCCATGCTGATAGATCATTTTTTCTCAATTAGAATTTGACTGACAAATTCCCCCTTCTTTTCGGTAGACACAACTCAAGAGATTAGCTAAATATGGTGACAAAATAAAACCGGTGAACTCTTTTATTGAGAAGAAGAACCGTTTATCTACCGGATTGTGGACAGATCGTGAGAAACAATTGCAAGCTTGGAGAGGAAATCCTTCATGGGTCCATCCACCTCCTGAAATAGAGGTAAAGAGGTATTGGGAAAATTTATGGTTTTATTCTCAAGAATGGTGCTGGTTTCACCCTTTGTCTTAAACATGGTGTATATCATAGACCAAGGATTTTCACATGAGATTGGTCAAGAACACAACACTTATGTTGCTTTGACTCTTCATTTTTCGTGATGCACTTGTGTCTGATATTAATATTCGATGCTTATCCTGGGCATAAACATTGGGATATGATCTTCCAATGACTATAAATATATGAAATTTTGAAATAATGAAACATACATCAGACACATACTTATGTCTAACACTTACATCCAAGTAACAAAGCATGAAACTTTCATAGTACTATTTCATTCATATAGGCGACATTGAAGAGAAAACTTTGTTTCTAATAATAAAAGATAATTATAAATCCAATATTTGCACTACAATGCTGTCATTTTACCTTCAGTTTTGTAAAATACTAGAAATCTAACGTTATTCTTGGCAGGTCAGTGTAGGGAAAGGCTCTCTTTGCCACCTTAAGGCAACAGCTGATATCGGGTTGCCCCCAGATGAGGTGTATAACATTGTTACTGATCCTGATAACAGGAGAGTTTTCAAAAACGTTAAGGTGAGTGCTACATTTTCATCCACAATAATAAATCGGAAGTTTTTTATATCATGGTACAATTACCCTATGTTGCTCTGGATCTTCATTTATTTTGAAGTACCGATATCTAATACTTGTGTTTGACATGTTTTTGGACTTGGTTATGAGGATACGGTCCTCAAAGGACCCTCCAAACATATGAAAGAATTCAAAACACGCACTCAAGTCTGAGTAACATAGCAACTACCCATATTTGGGAATGACGTTTATATAGCTTCAATGTTTCGAGCAGTTTTTGAAATTTCCAGTTTTTATTTTAACGACCTGCTTTCTGGATTCAGGAAGTGATATCAAGAAAAGTTTTAATCGATGAAGGTAAAAGACAGGTGGTCGAAGTGGAACAATCAGCTATCTGGAGATTCCTTTGGTGGTCAGGAACCATCTCGGTTCATGTTCTAGTGGATCAAAACAGAGAAGATCACACGGTATGGTTTCCCCCCCCCCCCAATTATTTATGTATATTTGTAATGATAATGGAAATTTGATCTTCCATGAATCGCTAAATACATAGAAAACCTATTCTAAATACCCGAGTCCGAATAATGTAAGTTTTACCTGATTGCTTTTTGCCTAAACTGATCTTGTTCGTATTGCTCGATGCATAAGTTGTTTGCTAAGCAATTGTGCAAGGTTTACTAGTGGATAACTCTTATTCTAATGATCTTGGTTAACAGATGAGGTTCAAACAAATGAGCAATGGATTCATGAAAAAATTCGAAGGTTACTGGCGAGTCGAACCACTTTTTGTCGACGAGGAAATCTGTTTTCCTTTCAAACCGAAAACATTATCAGAGTATTGTTCATGTACTGGAGGTAAAGGAAGGATTGGGACAAAGGCGAGCTTAGACCAACTGATTCAACCAGCCATCGCTCCTCCCCCACCCATTTCTTGGTATCTAAGTGGAATACCTGCGAAAACCACTGAGATGCTGATAAACGATCTACTTGCCGAAGCCGACAGTATCAAGGGCAGCCGTAACTCGGAAATCTTGGACAAGGAGCTTCGGTTATCAAAGAAAATAAACGAACATCGTTACCAACCCGAACAAGCCTGTGATATTAAAGGAAGATGGAAGTCACATCGGAGGAATCGGAAGTTGTTGCAGCGTCGTAAGAAGCTGTTCACATATGAATCCTCAAGTTTCTGATTTGTTCGAATTCATCTGTATTTTGTTGCGTCAATGCTATATGAAATTTGTTCAATAACTTTGTAATGATATCTCCATTTGGACATTTGTAACACTTTCAGATTTTAAGCAATCTTCCAATCTTCTTCCTCCACTTATGACCAGTGATTACAGTTAGAGGTGGCAATCAAGGGCGGGTTTGGCTTAGGTTTTTTTCGGGTTTTGGTTACTTTGGGTTCAAATTTGTCCAATTTTGGATTTTTTGGGATTCGGGTCAAGTTTTTTTTTTTTGAATCTTAGTGTTGGGTTTGGGTTTGTTTGCAATATATGTAATTATATCTATATATAATATTATTATAAAGACATGATCTGTTCAGTTCACACTGTATAATATTTTTTAATTTTGCAATTTTTTTTGGGAGAAAATATTCTATTTTCATTTATTAAACGATGTTAAACATGGAATCTACCCTTAGGGTGCGTTTGGTTCACGAAATGTAAGATTACTAGTGGGAATATAAGATTACCAGGGAATAGGATTACTGGAATGTTACATTACTGTGTTTGGTTTGTTTGACAGGAATGTATGATTACAGTGTTTGGTTGAAGGAATATGAGATTATTGGAATATATATTTTACCAAATTGTCCTTGTGCTATATGTGTTAACAAGTGAAATTCTAAATATTTAAATTAAAATATTCATATAAAAAAGAATAAAAATATATTACTTTATTATTTTAAATTTATATACTTTTTAATAAAAATTATATATAATTTTTTTATAAAATTTAAAAGATAAATGAGTAGAATAAAAGAGTAAATATATCATGTATTATTTTAATTATAAATAATATTATTTTTTACATTAATTATCTAAAAATATATTAAAATTTTACATCATGATTTAATTAAATAAGCATATGAAAATTTTAATAGATAAACCATTTTGCTCTTAAAGATAACAAAACTAAATTTTATAATTTAAACATTTTTTAAAATTAGAACAAAAACTAAAATTTATATTTATTCATTCAATAATTTCAGCATTTTATTTTGAAGTTCTTGATTGAGGTTGTTATTATTATTCTCTCCTAGATTGGTCTTCATTGTTGTTTGAAATTTGATATAGTTTGTGGTGTTGCTGAGTGGATTTGAAATTCCCGAATATTGAAGTTCGATTCGAAAATCTGACTGTTGAATCTTTTGTCCATGTTTGGAACAAAGCATTAGCAACCATTCCTAATTTTATTTTTAACATTGCCGAGGTAACAATTAATCCCTTTTTTAGGAATGCCCTGCCATCCCAATATAGTAAAACAATTTAAACCAGACTTACATGGAATAAGGATCAACCCGATATAAAGAATTAAATTGAGAAGTAAATAGGTGTTCGGAACATAATTAAGGGATAGTCTTGTCTTGTCCACTCAGTTATTCTAATGTTGAACATAAATATCTTACAAGTATGGAGTTAAATTTCCCATGGAAGCTTCAAACTTTCATAAATACCCCATAACTCAGCATCTAATATCGAGCAGCAACCTATTTTATACAAAGGCATTATCCTTACAATTTGGTGTACATTTCATTATTAGTAACGGATAGCATTTTATACAAAGGCATTATGCTTACAATTTGGTGTACATTTCGTCTTTACGTGGAGTAGTCTATACAACTTTACAAATAATTCAAAGCTAATTTTTGAACTAAAAATGCACAGCATTGTCACTCACTCCATTATGAACTTCCACACTTGGGCTTTGGGGTAAAGATACACATGTAAATACTCGGAGAGAACGGTTAACTTCTAAACATGGTTTAGGGCATAAACAATTTTCCAGTTCTGCATGTTTGCCTTCATAAAATAGAACACCCACATGCAGTCTTTTTGGGTGAATCATCGATCTTTTCAGTTTTAGACAGAAAACCAAGAATAAGTCGAATATATGAAATGTTACAACGTTGGTGACTCAGATTATTGACCTTAAAGACCAAAAGCAATCCCATTACTAATAATTTCTGGTGTTTAATTGATCTTATCAGTACGCAGAAATGAGGAAAGAAGCAAAAAAGGATAAATATGGCCTCTTTATAAGTTCATCATAATTCTAGAAGCATGCTCATCAGTGATAAATGACGAAGTTACAGGGAAGACAATATCAGTGGTACACCTAAACACCCTGATTAGCAGTTATAAGAATTCAAAGTTTAGGGTTTTATCTATATGTAGTGCAAGTGCAGATCCGTGTGAAGCAGCTTGTGTCTTCTTTATTGAGAAACCAAGCTTAAATGGAAATAAATAGGAGATCTTGAGATTTGAAAAGTATAGTTCCTCAGTTGCTTGGACTTCTTGACATGGTTATGTTCAACTTTTACTAAATTTTTTCATATATAAGGAGTGTCATATACTCGTATCACCATAATCATGTCCAAACATGCATAGGGAACTGTTTAAGAAACTAATACTTGAAGAGAAGTAAAGAGTTGGAGCAACAAAAGATGGTCCAACAAGAAGATAAAGATAGCGAATACCTGTTTTAGCTTTTGCAAGAGATGGCTGTACTACGACATGCATTATGATAGCTCCACCCGAGTCTTCACCAAAGGGTACTTTACAGAGACCAACAGTCCTGTTGTTCTCCAAAATTTTACCAGAGCTTATCAACTTTACTTCATTCACTGATTTTGGAACAAGTGTCTTCCCTAAGTAATGGCAGAAGCAACATTTAAGAAAATTAAAACAAAAATGCAATGCAAAATTGATGCATTCTTTGAGGATACTTAAGTCATATTAAGCAAACAATCAAGACCATTCTTTTAACAATCCATTTATTCAAATGAGCAAAATTGATGCACTCTTTGAGTATACTTAGCTATATTGGAAATACAATCAAGGCCATTCTTTTAACAATCCATTTATTCAAACGAGAAAAATTGATGCATTTTTTTAGGATACTTGGTTATATTGGAAATACAATCAAGACCATTCTTTTAACAATCCATTTATTCAAACGAGAAAATTTGATGCATTTTTTTAGGATACTTAGCTATATTGGATATCCAATCAAGGCCATTCTTTTAACAATCCATTTATTCAAAAATAAAACCATGATGAGGATAACATCAATGGAACAGTTGTATGACAATATGATGATTTACAACTATAACAAGCATTTAAATCACAGCTCCCTAGCTTAAGGGTGGGTTTCATATACGTGTACGTATCCAACAGAGGTGCACTCATTCCATATATTTGGAGGATCTTACTGTTCTACCCGTGTGCAAAATGTCAGAAATAAATTGCAGACATGCATATTCTAGAAAAACTGAAAAGATAGGGTAATATTTAATGTCTAAACATCCAACTGCCTTCATCTGAATATACATTCATAAGAACATTTTACAACTCATAAAATCATATAGACATGGATTATGCACCAAATTCATAAAATAATATACATATGACACTACAGAAAGAGTATCTCCACTCTTCATTAGGCAATCAATAGGTATTTTCCGAAGTGAAGGACATAATTTCTCCAAGTTTATCTACCCTAAAACTCTGCTACACCTTTCTGCTCTAAAACAACCCTTTCTTAATTCATTTATTGACTGACTAGCCCTATTGTCTTCTTCATCAGTCTTCGGTCACAACAATTAGGTTCAAAGCTCTGACCTGGATCGCTTGTTTCCACCAGTGTGGCAGTGTTCAATAGATAAGTTATTTTCCATACAAATTTAACCCTATGTTTGGATTGACAACAAATAAGGGAAAGGAAAGCTAAGGAAATGGAGATCCTTTCCTCTGTTTGGATCAATAAAGTGAGGGGGAGTTGAATATCCCTTCCTTTTCCTTAAAATACCTTGTTTCCATTTACCCCATTTTTTTATCCTCTTAACTTTTACATAAGAAATTTCATAATGAGATTATAAATGAAAATTTTTATGATAATCAGTATTTTTCTTTCATTTCCACAGATTAACAAAACGAAGTCCGGAAGTTCCTTTACTTTTCTTTTTCCTTTCCTTTGCTAATTTAGACTATCCAAACAAAATATGGGTGTATCATTTCATTTTCTCAATATTCCTTTCCCTTCCTTTCTTTTCTTTTCTTTTCCTTTATATTTTTTTATCCAAACATGGTGTAACAGAAATTCACCTAAAAATCTTACAAAAAATGTGAAATTCAATAACTAAACGAAACCCAACTTCAGAAGCATCATAAGTAATTAGAAAAGAAGTGAAAGAAATGAAAACAGTAAACCTTTAGGCCAATCAAAGACGATTCTTTGCTTAAGTATATCTGTCGTCGATGTGGCGGAGTATCGAAACGGTCCGATATCCGACCCATCATAAATCCTGAACTTTTATATCCACCAAATCCTCCTCCGACATTTTTGCACCTGCTTCCACTTGTTCAATTCCTCCTCAAATCCACTCACCCACTCATCACCGTCGACGGCTCATCAAATCAAATCCACCGCCTAAATTTTCCACAAACGGAAAACAAAACTGAAAATTCAACTAAATATTAAATTTAAGTACCGACCGAAAAATGAAATGAGTAGAATTCAAATCTGAATTCTAAAATAGGAAATTCGTAGCTTAAAAAGGGAACAAAAAAGTAAGCCTATGGAAGTGAGCGTTGGGGAAATCAATGGATAGATAGAAAAAAGACTTTGGCCATTTGCTTTGAAGCCTCATACCAAGAAGCCCAGAAGTGAAGGATAAGCGGTGCACCACTCTGGGTTCTTTTTTGGGTTCTTTCAAAACCAAAAAATATATTGAAAATAAAAACTGAAATATGGATGCCAGAAGCAAATATCTAAGTTAAATCAAAGAAGAAGAAGAAGATTTCAGTAGAACGAAGGAGAGGGGAAAAAGGTTATTTTAGACAACAAGGACGAGAATGAGTAAATACCTAAGGGAGAGGAATGATAGATATTTCCGGGAATACAGTAAAAAAAAAATTCATGTTGGTTTTAATTTTTTCCTGACAATTGGTAATATAACTCATCTAAATATGGATATTTTCATCCGGAAAAATAACATTCCTCCCGGAAAATAAATATACTGTGAATCAAACGTGGCCTTAATGGAACTGCCCAAAATTGAAATGGACGGATATTTAAAGATGAACAACGAACAAGAGCTGAGAGACGGAGATGAAGTTCGATCTGAATCCGACATCATTCGAGGAGATGTCTTAGAACTGGTTCTCTGCCATGTTCCACTTATGTTTTTTCTAAGTTTTTAAATTATTTTTTAGACCAAATAAAATTTTAAATTATTACATATAATCATTTTCTTAACTAAAATAAGCGTTTAAAGTTTGGCCGACTAGATATAATATTTTAAAATTTTATTTTGATCGAAAAATAGTTTAAATAGAGGTGTTCGCGGTTGATTTGGATCGGTTCTTGGTTAAAAATTTATCCGATCTGAAAGTATAAATGTTTGCGGTTTGAATGTTTATAAAAAAATCTGATCTAATCCGATCCGATCTAATTAAGTGTGACTTGATTCGGTTTAAATTTATGCTATTTTTTTATTCTAATTTTTTAAAATAATTTTTGAATTTTTTATATAAAAAAATAACATATGTATAATAAAACCAAAGAGAATATATATTTTAACAAATGTAAGTTTGTGAAACTTACAAAGAGAATATATATTTTAACAAATCAATAAACAAATTAGTTTCTCGTCAATAAAAAAATGGATGTCCCTTGTTTCCATATGTAATGGGGTAAGGGGATGTAAGATAGTATGCTGCCCCCAACACTAAGTTGAGAACAGTTTCCGTAGGAGACCTCCAAATTATGAAATGACCTACATGAGACTCAATCCTACGATCTCAAGGTTTAGAACCTTGTGCTCTACCAACTGAGCTGAATGATCATTTCAATTTCTTGTCAATAAGTCACTCATAAAAGTAAAATGACACATTTTTTAAGTTTTGTTTGACAATTTACTATTTACCTAGAAAATACCAAAAGACTATCATTCTTTGCTATTATCGTTTATTGCACCATCTTTTTCATTGGCATCAATGACTAAAATCTAGAACAAAATTGTTACGTGCATGTCGAGGAAAATTGAATCTGTATCTGGGTTTTGTGAGATTTAGTGGTGCTTTTGATGGGTTTGTTTCAAGTTTATAAATTCAATATTCCATTTCATCGATTTAGTTCGGTTCCGGATTTTCAAACTGAAACCGAACCTAACCGATCAGCTTGTAAAAAAATCACTAAATCAGTTTCAATTTTTTTCAGTTTATCAACTTTTTTGATCGATTTTCGACTATTTTTTTTAATCAGATTAGCTGTGAACACCCCCTAAGTTTAAAGACTTAATTTAGGGATTTATTTGTACTTTCAGTCTTAATTAAAAGAGGGGAGAAGAGAATAAAAACATGACACCAGCCACGTACATGGAAGGAGGACCCTTCTGCTATTTCAATGATAACATTGGAATAATTGTGATGTTATCTCATGATTTTCTTTTGAAAATATGTCTTCTTTATCTTTCACTTTTACTTTGATTAGTTTTGTTCAAACTCATCGTCTTATTTTTTTTTTATTTTTTATACTTACTTAATTTTGTCCATTAACAGTGTTTTCAATTTGGGTAAGCCCCCGCCTATATAGTAAACTCAAAATATATAAACAATAGGTTAAACTCGTTCTTACTATCCTAACTATTACTTTTATTCTATTTTAGTCACTTAACTATTTTTTTAAAAATCATACATAATGTTATATTTTAGTTTTATTTTGATTACTCATCGTCAAAAAATTAATGATGATATTGATATGTTACCAATATATGCCACATCATTATTGAAAAATAAAAAAATATTATATCAGTAGTTTTGTTAATTTTTTAACGATAAATTATCAAAATAAAATCAAAACGTAATATAACTACTGTTAGGTATGATTTTGAAAAATAATTAAATGATCCAAATAGAACAAAAGGGATAGTTTAGATGCTAAATGTGTAATTTATTTTAAGTATAATATATAAATATTTATTTATTTTTATTAAGAAGCCTTATAAAAAAGCACTCATTCTTCGTTATTTTCGAGAACTAGTGACCTAATCTACTACACAGAGGTTATGAATGTAGGTCACCCCGAGATAAATAAATAAATAAATAAAAAGTGAATGATTGGGGTTGAGACCCCAAAAAACGACCAAAATACCTTTCTTTTTTCCGCATTAAAGGATTTTGTTAATCATGCCTTAAAAATATCATTATTTCTTGTTTTAGTAAAACGTATGTTTAATATAACTAATTTTATATATCAATTTAAGGATTAAATACATAAATAGTCATTTGATTATAGATTCTTTTGTTAAATATTGATTAAGAAATTTTCTAAAACAATCATCTATGTTAACAAAAACAATAAATCAGTCCATTTCTATTAAAAATTTAATCTTCAATCTTTTTATTTTATTTTATTTTAATTTTTAATATTTAAATATTACATCAATTTATCCCTATAATCATATACTTCCTATTTTATTCTGAAAACAAACTAGACAATCATTGAACAAAGCTAATAAACTTTGTTTTCGAATTTTTATTTTCCAATAATCTAATTAAGAAGCTTTGTTTTTCAACTTTTTCCAACTCCTAATTTTCGTACATTTCCCATAAATCATAAATTAAAAATTCAAATTTTCCCAATTTCTTTTTCTTTTCCTGAACTTTTGTTTTCCGATCTTCGAAGTCATAATGCAAATATTATTTTTTTAAAAATTAAAATAAAACAAATTTGGTTAGATATCTAACCAGCAAAGATGTTTATAGTTATAGGCAGGGATTATCATAAAGGGTTGATAGAGGTAGATGTCCTAGTGAGAATTTTAAATTATTATATATTTTGATTTTTTATATATTTTTATTGAAAATCTAATTTTAGTATTTTTAAAATTTTATAAATTTGTCTTCTTTTAAAATTTTAATAATTATTTTCATAACATAAAATTCTGCGTCTGTCCTTAATTATAGGTAAGTAAACAAAAATGTTGATACTTTTAGAATTAAACTAAAGTATAAATAATAGGAGTTAAATTTATTGTTATGCAAATTTTATTAAGTATTATATTATATATTATTAATTTTTGATTAAAAATAATTAACTTGTTATTTTTATTATATCAAATATTTATTCTATAAATTTTCATAATCAATATTCAATAAAAAATAATATAGCACTACTTTTATATTTTACCTTAATTTTAATTAATTAATTGTTCACATTTCCCGCATGTATTAGCTTTCGCGAAGTTAGGGGCAGCTCCAGTGAACATACTCTCACCCTGTCTAATAATAAACAAATAAAACAATTTATTAAAATCAAATTGAAGCATTGAAGTGAAAGAGAATATTCAATTTTCCCAATGCGACAAATATGCTCTTGGGTTTTTACTTTTTTACCTTACTCCAATGCATTCATATTTTAATAAGACATTAAATTTTCTGGATTAAATTACATGAGAATTTATTTTTTATGGTGAATTATGTATTTTATTAAATAATAATAATAGATTAAAATTGTTTTAAACGTACAAAATAATTAGAATATTTAATTTATAATATCTGAATTTAAAATGAATTAAATATACATAAACATCTAAATTAATGTAATTGATATTAGGGTAAAGTATATTAATAGTCCCTGACTACATGATGTCGCTTTATTAAGTCTTCATACTATTTAAAGTTATAAAATGATCATCGGATTATATGACATTATTTTATTTAGTCTTTCGACTATTAAAAATTATAACATTACCACATGACTATTCAAATGATCCAGAATTGTCTTATTACATTAAAAAAAGTTATAACATTATCACATAACTATTAAAATTATATTTTAATGATGTATATTGGTACAACCGTTGTTTTAAAACACTGACTCGACGACATAATGTAAATAGACAGTTGATCCATAAAATACAACTTAAATAATTATGTGATCAAATTTTACAATAACTCAGTCAACAAGTTAACGTTTAGTTCAGACGACAACCAATTTTTTAACTAAAAATGACATGTTTAGAGCATATGAATAATTGACTTACTAATTTGTATTTTTTAATTATGAAAAAAGCAGCAAAAACGGTGGTTATAATACCAATAACTAGTTGATCTAGTTGGATGAGATACTAAATTTCTTAAGTAATGTCAAAGGTTTAACACATACGTTTGTAAATAAAATAAACTAGATTAAAAGGTCGTCTTTACTTTTGCAGTATATGATATAGATTAGTTGATAATAGATATTATACTAATAATTATTTAAAAAACAATACTTATATAATTTTTAATAATTAAAGCAATTGACAAAATATCGTTTTATAATCCAACATCATTTGTATATTTTAGCCTTGATATTTATTGCTATCCGGTAAATTGAACATTCTTTGTAAACATTCTGCCCATTTTACCTGGTGACCAATGTGTGCAGAACTTTAACAGAATAAAATTACAGTATCCTAAATTATTATTTTTTTATTATAAAAAAATGGAAAGTGATCCGAAAACCAACAAAGTTCAGGACAATCCGGGCACGTGATCTGTGATTCAGTCCAATCACTGATTTTTAAACAATCAATCCCTCCAAAAAGAATCCAAAATTCATATTTTTATATAAAATTCGTGATTTTTCACTATGTCTTTTGATAAGGTGTTTGCATCTGAAAGTGTGTAGACTTTGGCCTTTTGTTTTGGCCTTTGCTCCTTTGGTTCTTTCTTTGTTTCATTGATCTTTTATGCTTTGTGATTTTAAAGTGAATTTCAAAAAGGTGAAAGCAAAAAGATTGCTTTAAGAGAATGGTTTTTTTATTTAGGAATCAATAATTGAAGGAGCAAAGGGAAAGGTAGAAACCAAAGAGTAAATGATCGCTTCGGATTTGTGGGGATTAATCAAAAAACATATAGAAAATCAAATTCCAGCATTCTCAGATCTCTAGGATCTCAGAATTTCAGGAAAAAAGGCAACTTGTTGCTTGTTTCTCGAGAAAATTCTCTCTCTCTTTTTCTTCTTCTAGCTCTTTATCTTTAGCTCAATCTCTCCCTCTGGGGTTTACTCATTCGTATGGAACAAGTCATTTTAGGATCTGGGTGTTGATCAAAAACAAGTTTTGATTTTGTATTTTGAGGTGAAAAGGTTAAAAAACAAAAGGGATTTTCCTTTGAAAGTAATGGTGGTTTCAGTTTTGTGGTTCTGACAGAGACACCATTTGCTTGAACAAGGGTAGAACAAAGACTTTAGCTTCATGTGAAGAATGGCAGGTCATTGTTGTGCTGATCGGTGGGCATTGGTTTTTTCAGAGAAAGCATAGTTTGAATAAACTGAGAGACTGCAAGAGTTTTAACAGTATGGAAATAAAGAGTTTGGTGGTATTTACATTTGGGTTACTGATTTTGGCATTCATTGGGGTTTCCTCTGCAACTCTTTCTCCTACTGGTATAAACTATGAAGGTTGGTTTCTCTCTGAAAGTTATTCTTTGTCATTTACCTTCAAACTTGGAATTTTGAGGCTTCTTTTTTTTTCTCTCTTTTGTTCTTCATTTTGTTGTTTCTCAAGCAGTGTAGTGGAATTCCTTAACCAGTTTTAGTTTTCTCGGTTATTTTAGTATTTCCATTTTCTGTTCAATAGTTTTGCCATATTGATTGATAAGGAAAGAGATTTAACTCACCTATTTCCCCGTTCATTTATGATGGATTTCTTGAGCAGTGGTTGCTTTGATGGCCATTAAATTGAATCTACACGATCCCTATAATGTTCTCGAAAATTGGGATTCGAATTCGGTTGATCCGTGTAGTTGGAGGATGGTTACCTGCACTTCAGATGGATATGTTTCTGCCTTGTAAGTTTTCACAGTAACTTGAAAAGAAACTGAGAATTTTGGTGCTTGTTAGTAATGTAAACTCCTTTTTTTTAATCACTTGAACAGGGGACTTCCTAGTCAGAGCTTATCCGGGACCTTATCGACATCCATCGGGAACCTTAGCAACTTGCAATCAGTGTAAGTTATTGCCTCTTTGGTTATCCATGTAATTTTGTTGGATTTTCCTCATTTTGCAACCCTAAGTTCATGAAAAGTTCATTGCAGTTGTTATAAATGTGTTTGTTTTGCTTGTAGGTTGCTTCAGAATAATGCTATTTCAGGTCCCATTCCGGCTACCATTGGAAAGTTAGAGAAGCTCGTAACTCTTGATCTCTCGAACAATACTTTCAGTGGTGAAATACCTGCTTCCTTGGGAGACTTGAAAAACTTGAACTATTTGTATGTTTTAGAACTTATACTTCATTTGCATCTTGAAGCTCCGGTCGGTGTTTCTTTGTAGTGTTACTATTTCTTATATTTATGCTTGTTGGATGTACTTAGGCGGTTAAACAACAATAGCCTTACTGGAACCTGCCCGGATTCTTTGTCTAAAATCGGAGGTCTCACTCTTGTGTATGTACCTCAGCTTGTGTACTTTGTATTTTGATTTCTTGGGATGGCTATTTGTAAAACCTTAAAACCTATACGATATATTGTTATTGTTCCGTATGTATTTCGCTCATCATCGATTGTATATGAAACATGCAACAGGGACCTATCTTACAATAATCTGAGCGGTTCTCTGCCAAAAATATCAGCAAGGACTTTTAAGTAAGCTATTATTTCCCTTGTTTCATAATGCTTATAATGCATGTTATTATGGTTTATTAGTTATGGTTCCGGTTTTTTACTTTCAGAGTTGTTGGCAACCCTTTAATTTGTGGACCTAAAGCAAGCAAAAATTGTTCCGCTTTCTTTCCGGAGCCTCTTTCTCTCCCACCAGATGGTCTAAAAGGTGACATAACTGTGTTGTAGATACTGTTGCTTGTTAATATTTCCGGCATCTACTTTTCCCCATGTTACAGTTAATTACATGTTTTGAATTTATGGATTTTTTTTATTTCTTAGCTCAATCAGACTCCGGATTGAAGGGCCATCATGTAGCTGTTGCTTTTGGCGCTAGCTTCGGTTCGGCTTTTTTCATCATATTGTTTATGGTGTTATTTGTTTGGTGGCGATATAGACAAAACCAGCAGATTTTCTTTGATGTTAATGGTTGACTCCTTACACTTTCCTAATCTTCTTATTTGTGTTAAATTTCCCTTTCTAGTCTGCGATGCTGTACTGTCGTATGAATATCGGAAACTTTGGTACATAAAATATTATTATCGACATTCATCATCATCAAGGGGCCACAATTCACATGCATATGCTGCTGCCATGAAATTGTTGGTTCCGCTATGGTACGGTCAATGCCATCAGTTTTTATGAGCTCTGCATGCTGAGACAAGAAAGTTTCTCGGCATGTTGCATCATCTTTCATAAAAAAAGGTTTTATAGTAGGGAAAACTTGGTTTAAATGTTCCGCCTATATATTGTCCTTGCTTTCACATTTTCTCTGAAATCTCACTAAAGTCCATAAATTATGCAGTCATGATCTTTGCTTTGTTCGCAATGAAACATGTTTTCAGATAAGATTAATGTCTTCAATGTTCGTTAAGCCATACAAATCTTTGTAACTACTATTATTTTAAGGTTTTGATGTACAGTGTCCTACTAGCTTCATTTCCAGATATATCTTTAGTTAAAGGTTCATCATTTAAATTTCGTAAATGTACATGGTAAGATAAGATGAAACAAAGATGAATTTAAAAAGTGGTATTGTTACGACACAGTGTTTTTCTTAAAGTAACCATGTACGGCACTTGTGTGTGGCGTATTTTCGGACATGAATATGGGATATGACCCATGTAGAAAAATCATATCCGTATCAGATACATGCCCGTATCTGACACGCACACCCAAGTGCGAGCAATATAGTTAAGAAGGGGTAGACATGGACTTTAGAACAAAAGTTTGCTTTTTTGTCACATCTTGATCTATGTTTAACGTATAATGTTTTCCTTCGATTTCTTTATGTCATCCTCTTATTATGGAACCTTTCATGTTGAATGACAGAACAATATGTCCTGGAAGTATGCTTGGGCCATTTGAAAAGGTATACATTTAAGGAGCTTAGGGCTGCTACTGACCATTTCAACTCGAAAAATATTCTCGGGAGAGGTGGATTTGGTATAGTGTACAAGGGATTGTTGAATGATGGGACTTTGGTGGCTGTTAAAAGGCTGAAGGACTACAACATAGCTGGTGGCGAAATCCAATTTCAGACAGAAGTAGAGACGATAAGTTTAGCTGTCCATCGCAATCTTCTCAGGCTTTCTGGATTCTGTACAACTGAGAATGAAAGGCTCCTGGTTTACCCCTATATGCCAAATGGAAGTGTAGCATGTAGACTAAGAGGTTAGTCTTAGGAAAGTAGACTAATATTTATGATTCCTGTTTTTATTAGGATCTTCGTATATCGTACTATATCGAAAACTATGGCTGGTCACCTGTGGAACTGCTGTGTTTGAGTCACAATAACAGCCACGGGTGCGGTATAGAACCCTATGGTGCTTCTCGAGAACTGATATGTCTGTCCATCCTTGAGCAGCATATAGATTACATCCACTTACCACTGAATATGTTTCGGACATTACTCGAGGAAAATGAATAGTCAAAGTAACATAGATCGTTATTTTAGTTGATATTTGGACAATCAAAGTATCTCCATAATTAGTTTCCATAACTAAATACCATGATTATCCTATGGATAAACTTTAATCTCAGGGAATAGAATTTAATAACTAACCGGTGTTGCAAATAATTTTTCCGGTACGTGTCAACAGTTTGAACCATATAAAATTTTCTTTCAGCATATATTGTTTTCGTAAGGGTTACTCAATTCGGAAATTAAGATCCGAATTACTATTTGAGGGGATAAATCTTGCTAGAATTTGGCATCTATACGATACTATATTTTATATATATATATATGATATTCCTTTCAGAGAACATTCATGGTCGACCGGCTTTAGACTGGGCAAGGCGAAAGAGGATAGCCTTAGGTACAGCTCGTGGGCTTGTATATTTGCATGAACAGTGTGACCCGAAAATCATTCATCGTGATGTCAAAGCTGCCAATATTTTGTTGGACGAAGATTTTGAGGCCGTTGTTGGAGATTTTGGGTTGGCAAAGCTTTTAGACCACCGGGATTCTCATGTAACCACTGCAGTTCGTGGTACCGTTGGTCACATTGCTCCGGAGTATTTATCAACAGGTCAGTCATCAGAGAAGACGGATGTATTTGGGTTTGGAATCCTGCTCCTTGAGCTAATCACGGGTCAGAAGGCCTTGGATCTCGGACGAGCTGCAAATCAGAAGGGTGTAATGCTCGATTGGGTACTCTCTCTCCCTATGTGTTTGCCGAGTGCTGTTATTTTGAATACTTCCAATTAAAACATAAATGTAGTTTCCCTTCTTTGTTCTTGATGCATTATTCCATTCCTCGAAAAGGTGATTGTTAACTTGGTCTTTGGATGAGTTTCAATCTCTCCAACCTTACTGAACTCTTGGGTGAGGTTGTTAGGTCCGTTTAGGTCCGTCTCCGGACAACTATATCAACATCAGTTGCCCTCTTTCATGTACCAGACGTTTTTCTTCTTTCGATGAAATGTCTGCTTAATTTTTCCGACCTCTCTTGGCAGGTAAAGAAGCTACATCAGGAAGGCAAACTTAGCCTGCTGGTGGATAAAGATCTAAAGGGGAGTTTTGACAGGATTGAGTTGGAAGAAATGGTTCAAGTTGCTCTATTATGCACTCAGTTCAATCCGTTACACCGACCGAAGATGTCCGAAGTATTAAGGATGCTAGAGGGTGATGGTTTAGCCGAGAAATGGGAAGCCTCGCAAATGATAAAGACGCCAAGGTTCCAATCATGCGATAACCCTCCGCAACGGTACTCGGATTTCGTAGAAGAATCATCGCTGGTGCTCGAGGCCATGGAGCTTTCTGGTCCTAGGTGACACAATGTTTGCCTTGAAATCTTCGATCGCTACTCGATATATCGGAGCTCTGAAAACCAAAAAATATGCCGAGTGCTGTTGATAGTTGTGGAATGCCTGTATTCATCTGTAAAAACACGAAAATCATGTACAAGTTTCTTGTTGTTTTGGTCAAGAAATTTTGATAAAAATATGTTGGAAATATATATGGTATGTGCTTCTTTATACGGATAGTGCTGTAAGCAAGGGAATGATGAATCGTATCATTAAGTTTATTTTTAATGGAAACTAAAGATTTTATTTTCCCGACTCAGAAAATGTGTGTATTTGCTAATCCACCTGGAAGCTTATATGATTTGATTTCTAACATTCACAGTTTTTTTATCTCAACTATTTTAGATTTATGAATTTATTTTTTAGACTTTCATATTTAATAAATATTTCAATATTTGTAATTTTCTTTTTCATTTCAAGTTGTGAGGTAGATATAATATATATATATATATATATATATATATATATATATATATATATATATATATATATATATATATAATATTATTCCCTATTTATATAATATATTATTTAATTACAATGAAAATTTGGTCACTAAAAAACCGTCTTCGTTAAACTTTTTTTTACTGTTAATAAGTTTTTATCATTAAGTATATTTAATAATCAAATTAGTCTTAAACTTTTGAATATTCAGATTTCATTCTTAAATTATCACTCACATTCTAAATTCGTCTTTAAACTTTCGAACATTTTAATTTTATCCCTAAACTATAATACTCTTTCTAAATTATTCCAAAAACTTTTGAATATTCTAATTTCATCTCCAAATTCATCCAACTATGTAATTAGTTTCAACCATAGTTTAACCTAAATTTTGTTTTTTTACAAACATATAATAATATAATTTGGCCTAATGATTTTACTAACAAGGGATGTGATTAGTATATACATATAGTTTGGGATGAAATTGTGATGTTCAAAAAGTTTGGGGACTAATTTAGAATGAAGGTCATAGTTTGGGGTTGAAATTGACATGTTCAAAAGTTTAAGGACTAATTTAGTATGATAGGTATGATTTAGGGATGAAATTGAAATATTCAAAAGTATAAAGACCAACTTAAAATGAGATCATACTTTGAGATATGTGGTGTAATTAACTCATAAAATTAACTAGAATATCGCGTATTAAAATTTGAGGTAAGTCTCTAACATATTTAACTTGTTAACTGAAATCAAATTAAAAACAAAACGAAATATTATAACTTTGATCGATTTTTAAATTTCCTCGAATCCTAATTTATAAAACACGACCATTTAGATTTATATATGTAAACAAATCGAACATTACCGTTTAACGAAAAAATCATTTATGTCTATTATTTATTAAACGAACGAATATAAATAATATTTTATGTTTGTTCGTTCATTTACATTTGTGAACTTTCGGTAATTAATTAAGTTTATTCATTAATTTATGTACTTTTATGTTAGTTCGTTTATATACAATCCGATCTCCAGGCTCGTTTAAAATATTAAGACCTATTAAATTTTAACTTTAAACTCATTAATATTTTAAAACTCAAATGAAAAATATCCAAATCAATTAAAGAAAATATAAACTAAAATTATTTGGGGGGAAAACTCTTCTCAGATATAAACCCAGTTAATTTTATATTTATTTGTTTGTTGTGTTTGCATTCGTTTATGTTCGTTTATTATTTTAACGAATAAATATAAACAAAATATATTCTTTAACAAATAAAAACGAATAATAAATTTTATTCGTTAAATTATTCATATTTGTTCATTTGTTCGATTCATTTATCTGTCCTAGTCAGAGACCAACCAGATCATGGTAAAGCCGAAATTTAAATTGTACGATAATATTGGAAATGAAAATACTAGGCATATGATTATTTGCTGCCGGCTCCTTATTGATGGAAGGGACAATGTTCCTCCCATATGGGCCGACTCTGTATAATTAATGTGATGTTGCCTGTTAGCTTCTGCCAGATTACTTTCTTTGATTCCACGACAATTCCTGTCCATGCTCTTTTATGTGAGATATTGTAGGACTCTCTTATGTCCATCTGGAACATGTGAACCTTATCCAATTACGCTCTTTCTCAATTCAGAAAAGATGTTAACGAGGAATGGTATAGATTGCAATTTGGAAACAAATTAAAGGTAAAAAATGAACACCAACTCATTCCATTTATCCAAACCATTACAATGGGAGTAAATGTTTTAAAGGCGGATACATAAATAAATGGGTTTGATGTCTCTTGTTATAGGGATAGTATTTGTTGCATGAGTAGCGGTGTAAAATAGCATAGCATTTGGTGAACTGTTTGTTTATTAAGTTAAATAAACGACTATAAACAAAAGTTGTATGTTCATTTAGTAAACTAACAAACATGAATAAAAGTGTGTTCAGTTCGTTTACGTTCACGAACAAACTCGTTTATCGGCTTATTTTTTTATGTTAATGAACAAACTCGTCTAATAACGCGTTTAGAGCTTGTTTACTTCTCTCTTTTTGTACATTTTAAATATTAGTGATTATAGAGACTAAATTGAACATATGGTGAAATTTGGAATTTAATCTATAGAGCTTAAGGATTTTAAGTATTAGTAGCATACTTTTATCATTTTGAACTTGCAAATGAACATGTTTACAATCATATAAACAAATATTAAACGAACATGTTTACGAACGCTAAATGAATATTATATCACCGAGCAAATATTTGAAATATTATACTGGTACTTAAAAGCAACAACTATGTCAGTAGACATTATTAAAATATAATTTTATCATATCTCAGTTAGCAAGTTAATGTCCAATTCAGACGACCGTCATTTTTTCAATAAAAATTTATGATTTGGAACATATAAATAGTTGAGTGATCATTTTATAATTTTTAATAGTCGAAGGACTCAACAAAACAATGCGCTATAATTAAAATATCATTTTATAACTTTTAATAATTAAACGACTCAACAAAACAACACACTATAATTATAACCATTTATATACTTTTAACTTTTTTTATGATTAGGCGAATTTGGGAGGATTTGTGAATTAGTATGACCATTTTTGGTATTACGAATGATTTTAAAATAACATTATTTTAATTAAATTTTATTAATAAAAATCAATCCCGCTCAACTAAAAAAATGATGTTATTTTTATTTTAAATTATTTTTAATTTAAATAACATCAAATGAATTATTAATACCAATTCCATTAGTGATTTAAATATAGATAATGTATCAAGACACTGTCCTAGTTTTTGTTTTCATTCAAAAAATGCACTTCCAGTTTTACTTTTTAAAGTTTAGGATAAATTATAATTATTGCCGCTGAACTTTAAAGACATTTACACTTTGATCTCAGAAATAAAAAAAATTATAGTTTATTCACTTGCGTTCAGGAATGTTTTCATTTCTCACTCCATTAAATAATTAACGATATCTAAGGCCCCATTTAACATTACCGTTAGAAAGTATTTTTGGGGTCAAAATCACTTTTAAATTAAAAATAATACTAAACAGATAAATAATGTATGTTATAATTAATGTAATTTTAGTATTATTTTTACTATTTTATTTTAATATTTTAATTTTATGACATAAATTATGATTTTAATAAAATTAATTAATTTTATAAATATATACTTGTAATTTATATTGTAATTAATATATTTTTATAAAATAAATATAAATAATTTTAAAATATTCGACTCAACTCATATTCGTGGTCGTTAAAATAAATTATTTCTTGATATGACTCGCTGCTCATTAAGTTTGATAAAATTTTATTCGACTTATGATCATTAAAAGAACTTGTTACTCGACTCATTACTTATTACACTCACCAAAAGTTTTACTTTATTTTTTAATAATATGTAAAATCTAATAAATTAATAAATTAATATCCGAACGTTTGAATTAAGTTTGATAAAATTTCTAATTAAACACAAATCTACGTAAAATTAATTCAAATCAAACATTGATTCAGTCGAGTTTAACCATTCCACAGAACACCCATATCCTAAACTTGATACTCTACGTAAAAAAAAAAAAAAAACTTGATACTAGAACCATGTTCTTAAACCTTTTTATCCTTCTAAATATCATTAATTTTCTCAGCTTTTCCTCTCAGTTAGTTTTCTTTTTTTCCCTAGGGACGTCGGCTTTCATGGATGAAATGTACGGATCCTACTCTATAGGAGATCAGCACGTTGGCAACGCCTCACCTGAAAACATGATACTTCCTTCCGATTACCAAGCCCGGCTTTGTTTATCAGATCGGGTTCCGGCGTTTGCATCCGACGAGTTAATCTCTCAGGCCACCGCTATCTCCGAAGCCGGTTCCATCACCCCCTGAAATTCAACGAGAAGTGGACATTTCAAACGTGATCAAATCAAAAATCGCTTCTCACCCTTATTTTCCTCGTTTACTTGAGGCTTATATTGATTGCCAGAAGGTGAAGGGAACTAAAATTACTAAAAGGATTTTCGTTGTTTTTTCTATTTTTGATCGAAATAATCCACTGAAAAATTGCAAGTTTGAAAGAATTTCAAACTTTTTTTTCACTATAGCTTCATTAAATAGGATATAACGGTACTGCAGATGCTATTTGCAGGATTTCAAGGTAAGATTTGCTACAGTTGCTTTGTTAGTCGTGTTTTAAATTTCGGCCATTAATGAGTGTTTTACGAGGGTTTTTAGTCTCGAACTAGTCCGCACTGTGGTTTTCTTCAGTTTCAAGATCCTAACCTTTTCTTCTTACTCTTGGTAAAGAAATACCATAATTTAATCGGAATTATCTCATGGATATTTCATCAAATAGAGTGTATGAAGTTTATTGAAACTTTGTTTTGAGTATTGTTCTAAGCTCTTTATATCATTATTTTAGGTCGGAGCACCTGCGGAGATGGCGAGGATATTAGACGAAATTCTGACGGTGACCGATGTTAACAATCGGGATATCGTGCCAACCTACTTTGGACCCAATCCTGAGCTCGACGAGTTCATGGTTTCTCTCGTTCTTTGCGATTTTGAAGCTTTACTTTGCTTATCTATTTTCGTTGTATATAAGTTATGTATATGTGATGATCTGGGGTTTAATTTGTTCAG